AAAAAAAAAAAAAAAAAAAAAAAAAAAAAAAAAAAAAAAATAAAGAACTGTTTGCTTTATATGCAACCCTGCATGCCATTTCAGAACTTTTGTTTTTGTGTATAAACTTCAACCATCTTATGACAAATGAATTGCAGAACATACATTTTTATCACAAGTGTATTATTTTGTTGTAATATATAAATTGGTATAAATTCTTAAAAAGTTTAAAAATCAGTGACTATAGAGATTACGTCAGTACAATTACCAGTGCATAAAAGTTACTTGGAGTTGAGCAAAAGACAAATACTGTTCTCTTAAAGAACTGTTTGCTTTATGTGTTTATAAAGGAGGGCGGAACGTGACAAAATTAAATAGATAAATGTATAATAATTAAATGTATAATTTAATGATTCCATACCAATACATCATTAAATCATTATTGAATACACAATTAATTAATGAAATGTCCCATGAAATAAATAAATGTACCTTTTGACATTAAAAATGAAATGTCATTTTCCATAATTTATTTATTTAAATTTAAGTGTAATTATTTCACTGTGCATTTATTTATTTCATGGCTCTCGTGCAGCAGTGTCATCATGAAATACATTTGATTATTTAATGAAATTTACATTTCTTTATTTCATGATGTACCATCGTTATTTATTTAATTAAGTCCCAGTCCACCCTCCACAGAATGTGCTGCTTCAGTGTTTTACTTCACGTTTGCACAGAAAAAAAAACACCTTGTAGTGTTTGCTTCAAAGAAGTTTGTCAGAATATTGTGTGCTCTATATTTATTGAGAAGATTAAATAAATTCCTCTGTGTAGTTGAACTGCAGATGTACATTATTAACAATTGTAAAAAAATATATAACAGACAATAAATTGTTTCTGATTATCTGTGCAGGATGATTATTGTAAACAAAAGTTGTTGACAGAAGTTGGGTATAAGAAAACAAAGAAAGCTGCAATTTCATGTTGAAACAAACAAAAAAAACCCAGATTTATTCAGATTTGTGGGATTTTAAAATAATCAGATTTAACGTTTTGTTTTGAATTGTTTAACAAATTAGACAAAGTTTTTAAATAAGTAAATAAATCTTCCATCAAGGTCAGTTCTGTGCTCACGCAACAATTTTCATTATCACCGATCAATTCAGACTTTGCTTCATATTCACGATTAACTGGATTTTATTTTCCATCTTTCCATTAATTCAAAAAGTAAACAACTGAAACAACAACGCTGAAAATAATCAAAACAATTAAATCGATATATTATGGACATTTCTTTATTCTGACCACAAGAGGGCGCTCCTACCTCAAAGTCTGGGGATTGTTTTTTTTTTTTTTTTTTTTTTTTGTCTCTTCCAGGCCTTTGAACCAACACATCATCATCTTCCTCAGCAGGTGTTCCCATCATGCTAAACTTTTTGCACATTTTTATTTATTTATTTTTGGCATTTTAAGCTGAAAATAATTTGTTGTTTAAGTACAGTTAAGCAGAATCACAATCAGCACATGTTAAACCAATCAAACGTAAAAACTTTAAAGCCCATAAAAAAGTTTAAGTACATATATGAACCCTAAGTATTGATGATGAGCTAATAATATCCAATTATAAAGGTTTTAGAATTAGGATTAGCTCTGGATAATCTCACATCATTAAGTCAGTGCTTTTCATTAAAGTTGAAGTCAGCCGATAAAATTCAATTCAGTTTATTTATATAGCACCAAATCACAACAGCACAAGTTATTTCAGGGCACTGAACAACCATTTAGTAAAGACATCTAGCTAAGGAAGGAAGGAAGGAAGGAAGGAAGGAAGGAAGGAAGGAAGGAA